CACGCTCGAATTGAACCGAATCGATGTGCCTCTTCTACCACCGTCTTCACCTCGAAATTGCGTTGCCTAACATTGAATCCACAGTGCCGATGTCGAATCCATGATAATGAGCTACTCCGAAATCCACCAAAGTTTTAGGCTCAAGTTTCCTTGAATCTACCGATGAACACCTATCTTTTGTGAATGAAAGAATAAAACAACTCTTGATGATAGTCAATATGAAGTTCGTGGATCAATTGATCACTCTCAAATCATCAAGGAAAGCAATATATAAGCAATCTCCACTATAGAACACTTTGTTTTCTCTTCCCCTCTAAGAATCTGGACGATTGAACCCTAAAAATAGCAAACCGCGCACTTTATACTAACAGAGCCGTGAAGACTGCTTGAGCGCTCACTTTATCACTCGAGCGATATGAGTAAATGTTGTGCTCACATATAGGCCAATCGCTTAAGCTCTCACTTTACCGCTCGATCCCCATGCTTAGTCAGGGAAGTGGCAAACAAAGAATGCTCAAGTCAAGATACGGAATGTCAGCACAAACAATAATCAAATAGCATGGAATCAATTCACTTCTTAAAAACCAAGAAATTTATATACCAAAATAAAATCATTGACATATGTCCTTATAAATTTAGCAAATTTGGATTACTATTCTACTACTAGAGTTTAAACCTAATGCTCAAATAGTGATTACTGGGCAAAAATAGAAGAATAGGCGAATCTTTCAAAGGAAGCCCACACTCCACGGGGTAGAACCACCGAGGAGACCCTCTATTAGGCTTAATAATCTCCTTGGCATTATCAGGGTAATCCTTGACAGTCTTACTCACATATCCATCATTTCACAACGCCTCAAATTTTTCTGAAACATCATCTTCCCCTTTATTGTTCTCACAAAATCTTGTACCCAACCGACCACCCTACACCAATCAAAGACCCAATTCGCTCTTTCTCTCCAATAGGGTTTATGATGTGTTAGGGTTTATGTTGTGGTTTGTACAAGCAAATAACAGATTGCATCTACTCAAACACATCAAGCAATTCTAAGTAGGAACTATTCAATGCCGATGGGTGGGTCGATTAGGGACTGGGTTGATTTGAGGCTAGGTATGTGTGAAAGTATGCGAATGGAAGAACAAAACCTTAGAGGCTGAAATTAGAGGAACGAGATTAAGAGAGAGAGAGAGACTGAAAGAGGGCGAAATAAAAAGGACATACCTAGGGTAAAACTCCAATAATGGGTTGACGGGCTTGTATGCGATGGCGGTGATGCTCCTAACATGGAAAGAGAAGGGCAGACCCGAGAGAGAGAGAGATATATATATATATATATATATAAAGTCTTAAGAGAGTTAGAACCAGCTTTCTAAGTGTATTTTTTGACAAATAAAAAAAGGAGTACCTAAATATGCCCGAACCCTAACTTTTTTTCCCCCCCAACTAACTGTTTTAGTCACCAAAAAGAAATAAAGATGCATTTTTCCCCGATAAAATACTTTAGTCGCCAATTAATTTAGGAATCTCTCCAAAATTTGAAGTCCTCCCTCCAAAACTTTTAATTACAATTGCCGAATAAAATTTAGTCGTTAAAAATAAAATAAACCGACTAAATTATTTTGTAGTAACTAAAGATTGTACCTTTGCTGACCAACTTTTTTAGTCACCCAAAACCCTACTTTTCAATGACTAAAACTCAATTAGTTGCCAAAAGTAAAATAAATACCAACTAAATTATTTTCAGTAGCTAAAGATTGATTTTTTAGGCACTAAATTTTATTTTAGTCGCCCAAAACCCTATTTTCAACGACTAAAACTCAATTAGTCCCCAAACATAAAGTAAATACTGACTAAATTATTTTTTGTAGCTAAATATTGTACCGTTACCGACCAATTTCTTTTTCATAACTAAATTGTGTATTGTTGCTGACTAAATTTTTTAGTAGCTAAAGCGTGTACCTTTTACCAACTAAAATTTTTTTGGTTGACATTTTTAATCGCCGAAAGTGTATTTTTCTATAGTAAGGGTTTGTGGGTGGTAGTGTTATACGGTTAAGGAGTAAGATTGGTGTGTAACTAAAAATGTAACTAACAATGGTGGTATACATCAGATAGGCTAGTGTGAGATAAATAAATAAAAACACTAGAGTAGAAGTTCTGGGAGTAAAAATGAAGAGAGAAAAATAATGGAAAGAGAAGAAGAGTATTTTTGGTTAGAAGTACAGAATGCTTGGTTATAAGTATTAAGAAAATTTAAATGGCCTCATGGAATATGATATAATAGACATTTTGTTTTGTAAAAGGGTAAATGGGTAATTGCAAGTTTATTGTTGACACGAGTTAGTCAACATTCTGACAGAAGCCGGTTTGTAATGTCAAAATCTACAAGAAAGAAAGTCCTTATAATTATCAAAAGCCTCACATAAAGTCTATGTAATTAATCAATTCAAATATACCATTGCAAGATTTCATAAAGTCAACAACTGACGTCAAAACTTAACATTTGCGAATTTGGGTCACTGCTTTAAATAATGCAGAGTTGTGAGTGTTGTATGGTTTATGGGATTTATTTGATAACATAATTTAAATTATTTAATTTTTAAATAGTATCGAAGATAATTTATTTATAAAAATTTAAATTGATCAGATATCGGTAGTCTTTTTATTAAATCACGCTTATATATAAAGAAAATAAATATTTAACTATCAAATTGAATACATATATAACTTAATGAATGAACTATCGATATCCGATCATTTTAATTTTTTATAAGTATATTCTACTTAATATTTCTCAAATTTGAATAATTCAAATTATCAAAATAAAATTCAAAATAATTTTCACGAACCATACAATAGTCATGCACACAACAGTGACTCTAAACCGACATTTGCTATTAGAGATTTGGACTTATATAATATGCCAATTAATTAAGGTAATTATTCAGTAATCTCAAAATGTAAACATGGATCTATTTGGTAACATTTACGTTTTCAGTTTATATTTACAAAAATTTTATAAATTGATTTTTGCTTATTTTTTGTTTATTTTTAGAAAAACGTAAACTATAAACACGTTTGGTAATTGACAAAATGTTTAAAAAAAATTTAAAAATATAAAAAAGAGTGAGAAATGGCAAGTGGTGGCAGAAGACGGTAGTGGAAAGTGGTGACGGTGGGTGGTGGGTGGTAGCGGATGGGTGGGTGACGGTGGCCGGTGGCGGCGAGTGGGTGGTGGCAGGTGGTGGTGGGTGACGGTGGCGGGTGGTGGTGGTGACGAGTAGGTGGCGGGTGATGGTAGCGGGTGGTGGTGGTGGTGGGGTGGGTGGTGGTAGGTGGGTGGCGGATGGGAAAATAGTAGTGGGTGTGGCTAGTGTTGGGTGGTAAAAAAAAAAAATTGAAAAACTTAAAATGGAAACACATTTTTTGTGTTTTTATTTTTTGGCCAAATTTATAAACTAAGACCACTGATTTATAAATCAAAAATTTACCAAACAAGTTTTTATTTGAATTTTTAAAATTTTTGTAAATATAAATAGAAAACTAAAAACGTAAGTGTTATCAAACGGTACCGTGGTACTTCATAGAACTGTGATTGACGGAAAAGGTGGATTAGTGATATATTGTGTTAGGTGATTAAGGGATATAAGAGAGCATAATAAATAATAATTAATTAAGAATATAAACGTAATACTTCAAAAATATTAAATAATTTCTCAATTAACCAAATGAGGATTAATGTGCCATAAACTTCTCAGGTCCCAAAAATAATAATGCATGTACCCAATGTCAAAGCAATTCCCCCTCTAAAAAAATTTTGTCAAAACAATCGATATGCTAGGCTGGCACAGCTATTACCTACCTTCAAAAATGTTGAGCGATCTTTGGGCAAATTGGGTTAAAAACTACGTTTATAGTTTGGGGGTTAAAAAAGTTGATGGTTTTTTTTAATTATGGAGTCATTTGATAAGTTTAAAAAAATTGTATATAAAATTATAATTATACTTTTTATATTATTTGGGTTATATATTGGTGAAAATGTAAATTTTTTAAATTGGATGGAATAGTTTGGTCATTTTTATTGTGATGTGACATAATAAATAAATATTAATAAAAAAAGTCAAAGGCAATTTTTGACAATCTTTCCAAATCATTTTTTAAAAAGCCAAAAAAATTAATAAAAAACCAAAAGTAAGTTTTTACCATCTCTCGAAGAGCATCTGCATCAAGCTCTTCATACTTGTTTTTTAACTAAAAACTTCAAAATCAATCGCATCAAACTCGCTTGTAGCTCGTCAAAATTTACGAACGTTACAGTAACTCGTTACAACAAGTGAGGCACTGTTCATCGCTATTTGTGTGTTACCGGATGTTCGCCTAGAAATCTGACCGGTCAATAGGTCAACGACAATTTTTTTTTTTTTTACTTTTTTTAAGAATTGTTTGATTGATAACTTATCAATTTAATATAAAAAAAAAAGACTAACAAACACAATAAGAAAATAATATTTAATAAAAATAAATTAGAATAACGAGTTTGATGCAATAAGTGCTAAAATGCGAGTAATTAAAATAATGAAATAATTTTAATTTAAAATTGCTCACCACAAAACTTCAACCCGTGGCTTTAATTTATCCAAGTGTGAAAATGAGAAAATATTCTCAAAGCAGAAGTGCTTTCGGTGGGGTCACGGTACCTAAAAAGGGCCAAAGATATATGAACACGTAACACAATATCCAAATCCAATAATTGACAGATAGGAGAGGTATAGCCGACCAGTGCATGAAATTCAATTTTTTTCGAAGTATTAGCTCACCCACCCACTATACAGGTGTTATGATCTCTCCCATTTTTCTTCTTCCAAACAAACATATATACTACTCTTTCTCTCTTATATATTCTCATAATAAATTAACACCTAAGCCCTTTCAAGCAAATGTTAGCTTTTCATCAATAAAAAATCATCAGTAGTGGGCACTTAAAAAGCTTATGATCACCATGACTGTTGCTTCTTCTTCTTCTTCTTGGGTGTTGTTCTTCTTAGTTGTGGCAGAGCTCGCGTGCGGCATGTCGAGCCTGATTGGATTGGGTTCGAGATTGTTAGCGAGGGAGAACCAAATATGGGTTTCTGAGAATGGAACTTTTGCATTTGGGTTCACTCCGGCGGTGGACTCATGGTCGCGTGGTGATCAGTTTATATTGGGTATTTGGTTTGCTCAACTTCCCGGAGATCGAACCTTGGTTTGGTCTTCTAACAGGTAAAGTTCAATGATCCACCACTAGCACTACTATTCTATTTTCTTCTCCCCATTTTTCAAGTGTTACTGTAATAACTTGTGCATGAACTTAGCACACGTCTATACCAGCTCTTAAAGAGACGAATGATGGAGCAAGTCTATCATAGTAGTGTTTACTTCTTCTGCTTTTCATTTTTTGGGAAATATTAATTTAAACTTTTTAAAAAAGAAATTACAAGTCAGCCATAAATTTTACCAACATTAATAATTGAAGTCTCTAACTTTTGGAAAAATGATATACAAACCCATTTTTCAAACCTATTTTCTTAACTCAATGATAGTGCAAGTGTTATGATTAATTAATGATTAGAGAAGATATAAGAGAGAGTACAGTCTTCAATATCTTAATTGATTGCCATAACATTATTTAAAAGTTGAGTTTAATTTTTGGTTTTGAATAGTAATGTTTAAATTTTTTATTTATTTATAAATTTATAATAATTTTCTAAAAGTACCACTTAATGGTAACTTGTCTTTCATTTTAGGGTAAATTAGACCGACAACCCTGAGATATCTATTTAGAGAAATGTTATGTATTCTAAATATTCAATCAAACCTCTCACATGGGGTGGGATTCACACAAATTGTGTGTGGGTCCCACACCCGTGTGAAATGTTTGGTAGAATAATTGGGGTCTCTAGCATAACTCATCTATTTAATACAAATATCCCTCACATTTGAAAAATTACACTTATCATCCTATCGGATTAAAATGACATATTTGCTTATTAGCCTTTACACATATAAAATAAAAAAATAATATAGATATTTTGTTCATATCATTTCAAGAGAAATAACAATCACTTTCTTTAGTTTAACTCACACATAAAAATTAAGTTTTTTTTTTATTTTCCGTGTTTTTTTTTACTGAATTTTTTAAATATTTTAAGAAATTTTTTTTAAAATTTTTTTTAGATACATCTAATCTAGATATACTTAAAAAGTATAATATTTTGTGACTTTTTTTAAATTCACCAAATGTCAAAAAAAAAAAATCAATACAATATCTTATTTTGTTGTATTCAATGAATTTTTTTAAAAAAGTTTTTTGTACGAATTTTATGCTTTTTAAATATATCTAGATTAAATTGATCTAATCTAGATAAAATAGTGGATATAAAAATGAAAAATTATATTTATATATAAAAATTTATACAAAAAATATCATAAAAATATTGTGATAGTAATATTGTTGTAAATATAAATAACATTTATGTGTATTTTGTTTTAAAGTAAAAGATCACCATTAAGCTATACCATTGTGTTTGAAAATTTTATATAAAATTTATGTTTATATATTATCACTCAATAAAATATGTTCAGGTAGAATTTAATAATGAAAAATTATATAATGTAGTCATGGTGATAAGAAAAAAAGGCAAGATAGTCATTTAAAAAATTTTAAAGTATGACATCAACAATTTGTAATGAGATTATAAACTTTACAAAGAAAATTTTAATTTTTTAAATATAAAAGAGATTTATATTAAATAAAAATCTTAGGATGTCAGTGTAATTTACCCTTATTTTTTATACCAATATAAGAATTGCAGTTAAAAGTGTTTTAAAAACCGGCGAAAAAGTTAAGGGGTTGTTTGGATTTATTTTGGACTAAAAAATCACAAAAGAATAGAAAAAAGTCAAAAAATTACAAAAGGACAAAATAAACAAAAGGACAAAAAAAATACACCATTGCAAAGTCAAAAAGTCAAAAAAGCCAAGTAAGAATACCAAACGACTAAAAAAGTCTCAGACTAAAAAAATCAAAAAACTAATTAAAAAAATTATTGCCAAACGAGCACTAAAAATGATAATTTTATTGAAGTGAAAAGTGTTTAAAATTTTATAAAAAAGATTCATGTTATTATAAGTTATCTCATGTTTGATGCTTTAGAGCACTGGCTAGATATGAATTATATTAGGTACAATCAAAAAAATATTATAAAAAATCTTTCGTGAAATTTCAAATATAAAATCAATTATAATAAGCATCTAACTAATGACGTCGTAGCATATAGCATTTTTATTCACAAAATGAACAGAGCACTGCGATGAGCATATTTTGGAGAACGATCTCTATCATGATCACCTTACTGGTTTTTTTATTAGGATCAATAACAGTCCAATTTTCCATATCTATAGTCTTTACAAAAGCTTCTGCAGGTAAAAAAAAACAAAAAACATATATGACATTATAAAAGCCAACCGATTTCATTTTGTCTCAATCATCTAAAATAGAAACTCACCCGTCGGCAAATCCGCAATCTTGGACTTGGACGCCACCGGCAACCTCCTCCTACTAGACGGCGACACCACCGTCTGGACCTCCAACACCTCCTCCGCCGCCGTCCACTCCGCCGTCATGTCCGAATCCGGCAACTTCATTCTCTACACCTCCAACCAAACCATTGCATGGCAAAGCTTCTCTCATCCATCTGACACCCTACTCCCCAACCAACCATTAACGGTCTCGCTCGAGCTCACTTCCCCAATCTCCCATTCCCATGGCGGTTACTACACTCTCAACATGTTGCAACAACCCACTTCGCTCAGCCTCGCTCTCAGCTACAACATGCCGGAATCTTACAACAACTACTCCTACTGGTCTGGACCCGACATCTCCAACGTAACAGGTGATGTTGTTGCTGTCTTGGATGAAGCAGGGAGCTTTGGGATTGTCTATGGTGCTTCTTCTAATGGTGCTGTGTATGTCTACAAGAATGATGGCGACAATGGTGGATTATCTTCTTCATCGAATCAATCCATCAGGGTATCCATTCTTCGCCGGTTAATTCTCGAGACTAATGGGAATTTACGTCTGTATCGATGGGACAACGATGTCAATGGCTCGCGCCAATGGGTTCCTGAATGGGCTGCTGTATCGAACCCCTGTGACATTGCTGGTGTTTGTGGAAATGGGATTTGTAGTTTGGATCGAAGCAAGACAAATGCTTCTTGCACATGCTTGCCGGGTTCTTCCAAATCTGGAACAGAGCTTCGGTGCTACGACAACTCATCGCTCACAGGAAAATGTGGACCTCAACATCAGAACATGACATCTGAATTCAAAATTGAAACTGTGCAACAAAGCAATTACTACTTTTCTGATTCATCAGTGATAGCTAATTACAGTGATATTGCAAAATGGAAACACTTTTTTTTAGTTTTCATTTTCTAGCCAAATTTATAAACTAAGACCACTGATTTATAAATCAAAAATTTACCAAACAAGTTTTTATTTGAATTTTTAAAATTTTTGTAAATATAAACAGAAAACTGAAAACGTAAGTGTTATCAAACGGCACCGTAGTACTTCATAGAACTGTGATTGACGAAAAAGGTGGATTAGTGATATATTGTGTTAGGTGATTAATGGATATAAGAGAACATAATAAATAATGATTAATTAAGAATATAAACGTAATACGTCAAAAATATTAAATAATTTCTCAATTAACCAAATGAGGATTAATGTGCCATAAACTTCTCAGGTCCCACAAAATAATAATGCATGTACCCAATGTCAAAGCAATTCCCCCTCTAAAAAAATTTTGTCAAAACAATCGATATGCTAGGCTGGCACAGCTATTACCTACCTTCAAAAATGTTGAGCGATCTTTGGGCAAATTGGGTTAAAAACTACGTTTATAGTTTGGGGGTTAAAAAAGTTGATGGTTTTTTTTAATTATGGAGTCATTTGATAAGTTTAAAAAAATTGTATATAAAATTATAATTATACTTTTTATATTATTTGGGTTATTTATTGTTGAAAATGTAATTTTTTTAAATTGGGTGGAATAGTTTGGTCATTTTTATTGTGATGTGACATAATAAATAAATATTAATAAAAAAAGTTAAAGGCAATTTTTGACAATCTTTCCAAATCATTTTTTAAAAAGCCAAAAAAATTAATAAAAAACCAAAAGTAAGTTTTTACCATCTCTCTAAGAGCATCTCCATCAAGCTCTTCATACTTGTTTTTTAACTAAAAACTTCAAAATCAATCGCATCAAACTCGCTTGCAGCACGTCAAAATTTACGAACGTTACAGTAACTTGTTACAACAAGTGAGGCACTGTTCATCGCTATTTGTGTGTTGCCGGATGTTCGCTTAGAAGTCTGACCGGTCAATAGGTCAACGGCAAATTTTTTTTTTTTTTTACTTTTTTTAAGAATTGTTTGATTGGTAACTTATCAATTTAATATAAAAAAAAAAAGACTAACAAACAGAATAAAAAAATAATATTTAATAAAAATAAATTAGAATAACGAGTTTGATGCAATAGGTACTAAAATGTGAGTAATTAAAATAATGAAATAATTTTAATTTAACTAAAAAATTGAAGAATTTGGAATGGATGCTCTAAAACGTTCTTGAAAAAACAGAGTCGTACTGATGAAGCTCTTATTACAATTGTTTGAGTAGTCGTTATCAGTTTTTGATGGGACTGACTGATGAAGATGCCAAAATGTAAGTGGCCAATGGCCATTGGTATAAATTTGTTTGATTGTTTGGTTTTTTTTTTTTTTTTGTGATAAAATACACAAAATATTTGATAAAATAAATAATTTAAATCATTAAAATAAAATTTGTGAGGAGCCTCATGAACTCAAACAACACCCACCAGTTTAAAATCTAGGCCGGAGAAAATCTTCATCCAATAACAAAAAGTAGAACAAACCCCTCAGTTTAACATTATTATACTAACTTTATTTTATTAAAGTTAAATAGATCAAACTAATGCACATAATATATAGGGTAAATTACCAATACTCTTTTCGAGGTTTGACTAAAATATAAATTTTTTTTTGAGATTTGAAAAATTATAAATTGTCCCATGAGATTTATATTTTTATAACAAAATGAGAGGACAATTTGTTATGCAAATATAAATCTCAGAGGGTAATTTGTTATGTAAATTTAAATTTCAAAGAGCGAAATGTAATTTCTCAAGTCTCAGGAAAGAATTTGTTTTTTAGTCAAATCTCAAGAGGTGTTGATAATTTTCCCTAATATATATGATGTGAAAATATAAAGATATAAAAGAAAGTATATATATTTTTATTTAAAGTAAATAATAATATCATTTTCTCATTCATATAAATAATAAATTATTAATGAAAAGAGAATTATATATGATATAAGTTTATATTTAAATAAATTAATATAATTATATCAAAATAATTACAAAATTTACACTTTCAAAATTGCTCACCACAAAACTTCAACCCGTGGCTTTAATTTATCCAAGTGTGAAAATGAGAAAATATTCTCAAAGCAGAAGTGCTTTCGGTGGGGTCACAGTACCTAAAAAGGGCCAAAGATATATGAACACGTAACACAATATCCAAATCCAATAATTGACAGATAGGAGAGGTGTAGCCGACCAGTGCATGGAATTCAATTTTTTCGAAGTATTAGCTCACCCACCCACTATACAGGTGTTATGATCTCTCCCATTTTTCTTCTTCCAAACAAACATATATACTACTCTTTCTCTCTTATATATTCTCATAATAAATTAACACCTAAGCCCTTTCAAGCAAATGTTAGCTTTTCATCAATAAAAAATCATCAGTAGTGGGCACTTAAAAAGCTTATGATCACCATGACTGTTGCTTCTTCTTCTTCTTCTTGGGTGTTGTTCTTCTTAGTTGTGGCAGAGCTCGCGTGCGGCATGTCGAGCCTGATTGGATTGGGTTCGAGATTGTTAGCGAGGGAGAACCAAATATGGGTTTCTGAGAATGGAACTTTTGCATTTGGGTTCACTCCGGCGGTGGACTCATGGTCGCGTGGTGATCAGTTTATATTGGGTATTTGGTTTGCTCAACTTCCCGGAGATCGAACCTTGGTTTGGTCGGCTAACAGGTAAAGTTCAATGATCCACCACTAGCACTACTATTCTATTTTCTTCTCCCCATTTTTCAAGTGTTACTGTAATAACTTGTGCATGAACTTAGCACACGTCTATACCAGCTCTTAAAGAGACGAATGATGGAGCAAGTCTATCATAGTAGTGTTTACTTCTTCTGCTTTTCATTTTTTGGGAAATATTAATTTAAAATTTTTAAAAAAGAAATTACAAGTCAGCCATAAATTTTACCAACATTAATAATTTAAGTCTCTAACTTTTGGAAAAATGATATACAAACCCATTTTTCAAACCTATTTTCTTTACCTAATGATAGTGCGAGTGTTATGATTAATTAATGATTAGAGAAGATATAAGAGAGAGTATAGTCTTCAATATCTTAATTGATTGCCATATCATTATTTAAAAGTTGAGTTTAATTTTTGGTTTTGAATAGTAATGTTAAAATTTTTTTTTTATTTATAAATTTATAATAATTTTCTAAAAGTACCACTTAATGGTAACTTATCTTTCATTTTAAGGTAAATAGACCGACGACCCCGAGATATCTATGTAGAGAAATATTATGTATTCTAAATATTCAATCAAAACTCTTACATGGGGTGGGATTCACACAAATTGTGTGTAGGTCCCACACCCGTGTGAAAGGTTTGGTAAAATATTTGGGGTCCCTACCATAACTCATCTATTTAATACAAATATCCCTCACATTTGAAAAATTACACTTATCCTCCTATCGGATTAAAATGACATATTTGCTTATTAGCCTTTACACATATAAAATAATAAAATAATATAGATATTTTGTTCATATCATTTCAAGAGAAATAACAATCACTTTCTTTAGTTTAACTCACACATAAAAATTAAGTTTTTATTTTTATTTTCCGTGTCTTTTTTTTACTGAATTTTTTAAATATTTTAAGCAATTTTTTTTAAAATTTTTTTTAGATACATCTAATCTAGATATATTTAAAAAGTATAATATTTTGTGACTTTTTTTAAATTCACCAAATGTCAAAAAAAAAAAAAAATCAATACAACATCTTATTTTGTTGTATTCAATGATTTTTTTTAAAAAGTTTTTTGTACGAATTTTATGCTTTTTAAATATATCTAGATTAAATTGATCTAATTTAGATATAATAGTGGACATAAAAATGAAAAATTATATTTATATGTAAAAATTTATACAAAAAATATCATAAAAATATTGTGATAGTAATATTGTTGTAAATATAAATAACATTTATGTGTATTTTGTTTTAAAGTAAAAGACCATTATTAAGGCCTCGTTTGGGAACAGGCTAATTTAGGGTTGGTTTGGGAAGTGGGTTGACTTTTTGGCTTTTTGAATTTTTTGGCTATTTTAGCCTGGGCTAAAAAGCTTGGTTTGGGAAGGACTTTTTGGCTTTTTGGCTTTTTTGGCTTTTTTTGTGAGAGAAGAGTGTAATGATTATGGGTTGGATATGATATTTTGTTTGTTGTGGCTAAATAAGCCTATTTTGTCTTTTGTGGCTATTTTAGCCACAAATCATCTTTCCAAACGGACCCTTAGTAACTTTTTGGCTATTTGGCTAAAATATGAGCTAAAAAAAATTAGTATGTTTGGGATGACTTTTTGGCTAATTACGAAAAGATGTGCAAAAAGTAGAGAGAAAAGAGAATCTTTGACTTTTTGGTATGGGTTGTTGGTTTTTTGGCTAATTTTTAGTAACTTTTTGACTTTTTGGCTAAAACAAAGCCTTCCCAAACGAGGCCTAAGCTATACCATTGTGTTTGAAAATTCTATATAAAATTTATGTTTATATATTATCACTCAATAAAATATGTTCAGGTAGAATTTAATAATGAAAAATTATATAATATAGTCATGGTCATAAGAAAAAAAGGCAAGATAGTCATTTAAAAAATTTTAAAGTATGACATCAACAATTTGTAATGAGATTATAAACTTTACAGAGAAAATTTTAATTTTTTAAATATAAAAGAGATTTATATTAAATAAAAATCTTAGGATGTCAGTGTAATTTACCCTTATTTTTTATACCAATATAAGAATTGCAGTTAAAAGTGTTTTAAAAACCGGCGAAAAAGTTAAGGGGTTGTTTAGTAAATATTTTGGACTAAAAAATCACAAAAGGATAAAAAAAAAAAAAAAAAAAAGTCAAAAAATTACAAAAGGACAAAATAAGCAAAAGGACAAAAAAAATACACCATTTCAAAGTCAAAAAGTCAAAAAAGCCAAGTAAGAATACCAAACGACTAAAAAAGTCTCAGGTTAAAAAAGTCAAAAAACTAATTAAAAAAATTATTGCCAAACGAGCACTAAAAGTGATAATTTTATTGAAGTGAAAAGTGTTTTAAATTTTATAAAAAAGATTCATGTTATTATAAGTTATCTCATGTTTGATGCTTTAGAGCACTGGCTAGATATGAATTATATTAGGTATAATGAAAAAAATATTATAAAAAATCTTTCATGAAATTTCAAATATAAAATCAATTATAATAAGCATCTAACTAATGACGTCGTAGCATATAGCATTTTTATTCACAAAATGAACAGAGCACTGCGATGAGCATTTTTTGGAGAATAATCTATCTTTTTTTTGATTCAAAAGAGAACGATCTCTATCATGATCACCTCACTGGTTTTTTTATTAGGATCAATAACAGTCCATTTTTCCATATCTATAGTCTTTACAAAATGAGAAAAGATAGGGATCATGAAAAAACTTTCATGAAACTGATCATTAAAAATTTATGATCCTTGGATTACTTTGATTAGTGTGTGGTGTTTTATTTTAAGTGTAATCCAAAGGTCATAAATTTTTCATGATCATTTTCATGAAATTTTTTTCATAATACCTAACATTGCTCTTACAAAATCTCCTGCAGGTAAAAAAAAACAAAAAACATATATGACATTATAAAAGCCAACCGATTTCATTTTGTCTCAATCATGCAGGTAAAAAAAAACAAAAAACATATATGACATTATAAAAGCCAACCGATTTCATTTTGTCTCAATCATCTAAAATAGAAACTCACCCGTCGGCAAATCCGCAATCTTGGACTTGGACGCCACCGGCAACCTCCTCCTACTAGACGGCGACACCACCGTCTGGACCTCCAACACCTCCTCCGCCGCCGTCCACTCCGCCGTCATGTCCGAATCCGGCAACTTCATTCTCTACACCTCCAACCAAACCATTGCATGGCAAAGCTTCTCTCATCCATCTGACACCCTACTCCCCAACCAACCATTAACGGTCTCGCTCGAGCTCACTTCCCCAATCTCCCATTCCCATGGCGGTTACTACACTCTCAACATGTTGCAACAACCCACTTCGCTCAGCCTCGCTCTCAGCTACAACATGCCGGAATCTTACAACAACTACTCCTACTGGTCTGGACCCGACATCTCCAACGTAACAGGTGATGTTGTTGCTGTCTTGGATGAAGCAGGGAGCTTTGGGATTGTCTATGGTGCTTCTTCTAATGGTGCTGTGTATGTCTACAAGAATGATGGCGACAATGGTGGATTATCTTCTTCATCGAATCAATCCATCAGGGTATCCATTCTTCGCCGGTTAATTCTCGAGACTAATGGGAATTTACGTCTGTATCGATGGGACAACGATGTCAATGGCTCGCGCCAATGGGTTCCTGAATGGGCTGCTGTATCGAACCCCTGTGACATTGCTGGTGTTTGTGGAAATGGGATTTGTAGTTTGGATCGAAGCAAGACAAATGCTTCTTGCACATGCTTGCCGGGTTCTTCCAAATCTGGAACAGAGCTTCGGTGCTACGACAACTCATCGCTCACAGGAAAATGTGGACCTCAACATCAGAACATGACATCTGAATTCAAAATTGAAACTGTGCAACAAAGCAATTACTACTTTTCTGATTCATCAGTGATAGCTAATTACAGTGATATTGCCACGGTTTCAAAGTGTGGCGATGCTTGCTTATCGGATTGCGAGTGTGTTGCTTCTGTCTATGGACTTAGTCAGGAAAAGCCCTACTGTTGGATTTTGAAGAGCTTGGAATTTGGGGGATTTGAAGACCCGGGTTCGACCTTGTTCGTGAAGGTTGGGTCCAATGGCTCATCGAGCTACACAGGAGGGTCTGGGGATTCTTCGGGAAGGTCAAGGAAGAGTACTGACAAAGTTGTGGTACTTCCTATTGTTCTGAGCATGACTGTTCTTATTGGGCTCCTCTGTTGCTTATTGTACATCAGTGTTCACAGAAGGAGGTCCTTGAAGAGAGCCTTCCAAAACTCCTTGCTTGTTTCTGGTGCTCCTGTAAATTTTAGCTTCCGTGATTTGCAAGTCAAGACTAATAATTTTGCACACTTGCTCGGAACAGGCAAGTCTGTATGAAAGCAAAGAATATTACTTAAATCAGTTGAAAATTTGTGGTTATTTTATTTTATTTTTAAATTCTAATGTTGTGTTGTTTTGCAGGCGGGTTTGGAAGTGTATACAAAGGAAGCCTAGGGGATGGGACTTTGGTGGCAGTGAAGAAACTTGACAGGGTTTTGCCTCATGGAGAAAAGGAGTTCATCACTGAAGTGAACACTATTGGCTCCATGCATCATATGAACTTGGTTCGTCTCTGTGGATATTGCTCTGAGGGCTCACAACGGTATGCAATAGCAATGCCACGAATCCAGAATCTGTGCACAAACAAAATACCCGGTAAAGCAATGCGTGGGCTTCACTATACAAAAGTTGAATGTGGACCACCATTCTTTTTTTTTCTGGGTAAATTTTTGTGCATGAGTTCTGGTTCGTAGCTTTATTGTTCCTAGCAAGCACTATTATTTAATTATGTATTTAAAATAGCATCTCACATTGTCTACTGAAAATTGCATAAATTTGGAGATTGCAGTTGAGAATTTAGTGCTTAGGGGAACATTTTAAGCTGCAGCGCACAAACCATTTCACAACTACAAAACTCAAGCATTACAAACTCAGCATGTTGTTCTCAAATTTGTTTTGAAATGTGATATTAATTCATTCACAGGCTTCTAGTATATGAGTTCATGAAGAATGGATCCTTGGACAAATGGATTTTTCCATCATACAAATGCCGAGGTAGACTGCTGGATTGGTCAACCCGATTCCAAATAGCTGTTGGTACTGCACAAGGGATTGCATATTTTCATGAGCAATGTCGGAATAGGATAATACACTGTGATATTAAACCGGAAAACATTCTGCTAGATGAAAATTTCTGTCCTAAAGTATCGGACTTTGGACTAGCTAAGTTGATGGGGAGAGAGCACTCACATGTTGTCACAATGATTAGAGGAACACGAGGGTATTTGGCCCCTGAGTGGGTTAGTAACCGCCCTATAACTGTGAAAGCTGATGTTTACAGTTATGGAATGCTTCTTCTGGAGATTGTTGGTGGCCGAAGAAACCTAGACATGACTCACGATGCAGAGGACTTCTTCTACCCTGGCTGGGCTTTCAAGGTATCCTTCATTTTCCCTCTATTTTCATGTAATTAAATGCTTCATTTTAGCATTTCCCCAAGTTTTTAAACTTGCGAAAATGTTGATTTTTGCAGGAAATGACAAATGGAACACCGATGAAAGTTGCAGATAGGCGCCTAGAAAGAGTAGTAGAAGAAGAAGAACTCATGAGAGCTTTGAAAGTTGCATTTTGGTGCATCCAAGATGAGGTTTTCATGAGACCTTCAATGGGGGAAGTGGTGAAGATGTTGGAAGGATCGGTTGAAATCAATGTACCACCAATGCCAGACAGTTTTAGAGTTGATTGAAGAAGGCTTGGATCAAGTATACAAAGCCATGAAGAGAGAGTTTAACCAGTACAGCTCCTCCGCCATCAGTAGTCATCCATCATCCCAATCCCATGCTACGTGTAGTTATTCTACAATGTCACCTAGATAACAAAGGCAACACCCAAAAAATTATCTTTTTGTTGAGATTATGTAAATGTAATTGAAACTCTATGATGCTCCCAAAGACTGCATAGGAATTGATTGATGTTGTATGGTTCATAATCCCATTTCATTAAGATGGCACATAGAAATTCATAGAAGACTGTAAATATTCAAGATTAGGATTCATTTACATAAACCAATTGTAAACTAAATTTAATTTCAAACATCGTCCATATGATGGAGGAAATGTAACCAATCAGATCATCACTTGGACCAAAGCGTGGCACCTTCATATTTGATTGAAACCATAATGGGTCGGAGGTCTGAGATGAGATTAGTTGAATGAATGAAGCCACTACTGGCAGCATAAGGTGCAGCTACTAGCATCGGTAACTCTTTCATCAAATTATATTTGTATTCAATTTATACTTAAAATCACACTTACCATTCATTTTTTTATATATAAATGTAATTTGATGAAAGGGTTGTCGATATTTAATCAATTTGACTTTTTACAAATATGTTTTACTCAATATATCCTAAAAATTGAATAATTTTGATCAACAAAGTGGGACCCAGAGTGAGCCTTATCAGACATAGAACAGTAGCTGATATCCATATCACACAAGAACCACCCAAAACTGATGATTTGCTCTGCTCTTTTGTTTGTTTGTATGTTTGGCAGACTCATTGTTCTCTTATTGTACTTGTTTATTCTTTCAATAAAATGTTATGTGGCGGATAAAAAAGATTGCTACTATTGACATTTACCTTCTTTCTTTGAACCCTCCATTGTTTCATTTTTTTTAATTCCAATTTTGTCCAAAGATAAAATTTTATTTCTACCCTCATCCCTAACCCTCTAACCCTAATTTTCCAACCCTAACCCTAATTCCATCACCTCCGGCATGCCGACCATCCACCTTCAAGTCACCCCAACCACCGCCATCATCACAACACTCTTCTCTGCCTCCTCCTCTTTATTTCCACCATCACATCGCTGCTATCACCGTCCACCACCCACCGTTGTTGCCATCACCGTTATACTCATTGTCACACACCAAATCTAGGCATGACCTGCCGTGGCCCATAGGGAGTTACCCCAAGGCACACGTAAACTTAAACACGAACCCAATATCACAAAGAATAAATATAACGACAGAAATAAATAAATCAAAACCTAATCTAATTACAAGTCACAAGTATAAATGACAAAACCAACCCTAATCAATACCATCCAAACCAATGGGATATAAATAGCCCACATAATAGAATAATCCTAAATGAACCTCAATAAAAATAAAAAAATAAAAAGTGCACAAACTTGACATCACAATCTGAAAAATAAACACACACACACACACACAACACACACACACACACACACATATATATATATATATATGAACTTCCTAGAGGTTCATGTAATTAAGTCCCCGTTATGCCATAAGTCCACTCTAAGTCCTTTTATCACCTAGAAATGATAATAACTAAGTCAACTGATAGCTCAGTGAATAAAAGCATGGATGGTAAATACAATTTTGAAAAATAGGGTTCAATTCAGAAATAAGATGTAAAAAAATATATTGATAGAGATAAATTGTATGTATTATTGATTGATGTTTTGAATGTTGTAAATTACAAATGGTGAGGTGCTCTTTATATAGGAGATGTAGTAGGTGAAGTGGGTGGAGTAGGTGTAGTAGGTGGTGGAGTAGGTGAAGTAGGTGAGTGTGTAGTAGGTGGTAGTGGTAGGTGTGTAGTAGGTGAATTTTAACATAAGATATATATCACAGAAACTAAATTGGCATACAATTTTGATAACGACAATCTGTTTCAAAAAGAAGGTTCTACATTTCAACAATTAAAATACTTATGTCTCTCAAGAACACATCAAATGACATTCTCCACTTAAAACAGATTACAACATGATCATCAATAATTTTCTAGGTACCAAGAATAACAAGTAACACACCACAAAGTTCTTAAGGCAATAAGCCCGTTGGATCCAATATCGAACCAAGAGTCATCTTCGAGGTGGCAACTCGGGCCTTTTCTCTAAGACGATCCGATTGAAGATCACCTAGCCTAACCCAAGTTTTTTTCTTACAATCGTTGAGCACTAGAGTTATAGCGATTTTGGCTTAGACTCGACCCATTTGATGCTTTAGATCCGAGTTTTATTGTCTTGTATGATTGTTCATGTCTTATTTCTCCTTATTCCTTATTGAGTTTGGTTATTGGAGTGTCTTGGTTACATTTGAAACATGACGGGAGTTAGTTTTCAAAATGATTCCTACCCAGATTTTAGCTTCTTTGCTTGAGCAACACTTCTTACGTTTGAAAGGTCTTTGAGAACACTTAGTACTTTTGTAGGCCTGCAAAGATACTAGGAGTTGGCATTTTACGCTCGAGCGGTCATTCTTGCGTTCTCGCAGTGTTGGCTCGAACGGTCCTTCTTGAGCTCGAACGAGGATCCTCTGTAAAACTTCTTGGAGTTTGTATTCTTCGCTCGAGTGGTAAACTTCTTCACTCGAGCGGTATCACTTGTAGTGTCTGGTCGCTCGAGCGACACTTCCTTCGCTCAAGCGGTTGTCGCTCGAGCGGTTTGCGCGTATATCAATCTGTAAAAGTCATTTTTTGAGTCACTTTTTCATTTTTCTCTCTCTTTAAACGTTTCAAAATCCTTATTTGAGACCCTCTCTCTCTAAAATTGTCACGACCCAAACTTACCCCTATAGGTTTAAGATCGTAACCGGCCAGTAATCCTAGGATTACCGAAGGCCTCTGAACATATTAGTAAAATTAAGGGGCTAGCAGAAGCAATATCAAAATACAATGTTCATAGAGCTGTGTAGATGTACATGGGACATAAAATTTCAAACTTATATTTACATATATAACATTAACTTATATACAGATAAACCAAAATGGGTCTTAGCCCAACACACAGATAGTACAGAAACTTGTTCAAACAAAAGAAAACAAAAGTGTTAAACATGGATCACCAAACTTGACCACTTCTTAATATGGAAACCTCATCGGGAGGCATTGTCACAACCCCATTCCGCCCCTAGTAGAATGGTACCGTGATGGCCAATAATCCGAGATTACTAAAGGCCAACTTACAAAGATTCACACACAATCAGAGTATACATATGGGGCTTACATGTGCGGAAGCAATAAATTTAAATCTAAGTAGTCCATAAGAGCTGTGCATAGATCAAATGTAATGACATACATCTTAACATGGTTTTACAACTTTGATACAAATAAAATAAAGTACATATTACATCTTGATCAAAAGGTTTCTCAAGCCGATATATACAAAAGAAATATACTACAAAGCCAGAAGCATGATCTTCAAGATGCTACAAAACATGAATCCAAAACAAGTCGAAAATAATCATCTTAGGCATCACTGCCTTCTTGCTCGTCACCTACATATATATAAGGAGAGGGTGAGCTTGGATACTCAATGAATGATATTAGTAATAAAGGTTTGAATGAATGACATCCAAGATCTTTATCAAAACAATACATATAATAACTTGTGCAAAATCAAGGGATGAACCAAGTTCATCTATCAAGTCTTTCAAAGCTTCAAGGAATGCTTACTAGCATCAATATAGTACAAGGGATGACATTCCAGACAAACCCACGTGGTAAACCGTTGGTGGCAAGACAATGGAGATATCTCAACAAGGATGCTAGTTGCATTATAGTCCCCTAGTACTAAGGACTTTCAAAACAAGAGTACTAGTTGCATTATAGTCCCCTAGCACTAAGGACTTTTCCAAGAATGTCATCAAAACAAGATAATATTTGATACAAAAATTAGGGATAATCATTCATGCTTGAACAAACACTTTTTCCAAAAACGAAACAAGCAAAGCTTTTATCAAACGTTAGAACATAGCTTTATTAAAAATACCACTCACATAGCTCTTCGGGTGTGGGCATTACAAGCAAGGATCCAAGGCCTACAAGCACATAATAAATCCCATTGAATGCATTTCAAGAAGACAAGAAGAGATGCTCAAAGATGGATATGAAATGCATTCTTAAAACAAGCTTTTCATAAGTGTAAATGATCTCGGGAGTTCTTTCAAAACTAAGTCAAGACAAAGCAAAACATGCTGGGGGTTAAAACACTGTTTCTTATCTCGGGCAAACATGCTGGGCACCAACCAGGTCTTGGCCGAGGTCCCACACCTCTTCGCCGAGGTGTGGTCCCGATGACCATATTCAGGGAAATGAAGTCGGGAAAATCTGGGTTTTCCCTTCGAGGAACATGAAGAGCATAAAGAACATGAATGCTAAAATCTTAACTTGTTATTACAAAATCGGAGGTTTCATGAGATGAGTTCGAAAACATGGACCTGGGTACCCATACTTGGAGATTTCATGAAAACAAACACGAGAACATGGATCTTGACACAAAATTTCAGATCAAAACATGGTTTTATTTCAAGAATACAATAACATCATTTTTTCTTTCTAAAACAAATTTCAAATCAATGCATGTCTCATGAATCATGCTGGATCATGCAATGTAGTTAGAGGAACATAAAGAATAACAAAAGCACATCAAGATTCTAACCTTAAGCACGGATCTAATGGTTCAAGGTGTGAAGATCAAGCTTGGAAATCTATTATCACTCTAAGAACTCTTCTTCCTCTCCTCCTAGAGCTTCTCTCTCTTCCTAGAACAAGATATAACAAAATGATGTAGGTTTCTCTACTGCCAGCAGACTTAACCCTCTGCTGGGACACGTGCAACGACTGGTTGGCTCTCCTCAAAAGGTCACTGACTGACAAGACAAAAGCATGACAAAGTGTATACAACAAGCAAGGTGACATGGGCACTTCGGCAGGTAAGGACCTCGGATTAGGACAAGGCTTCGACAAGTAAGGTCTCAATGATCTTGGCTAGAAAGGATAACACTTGACCTAGCTGTGCCACACCTCGGCCTAGATGTGCCACACCTCGGCCTAGGTCATACCAGTCCCGGAACAAGAGCGCTAGGTGCAAGGATCAAGGATCTAGGATAGGGCTGAGCAAGAAATCCGTGAAATCCGTAATCCGATCTAGTCCAGTCCAATCCGATAGATTTGGATTGGTTTTTTGAATCCGTGGTTCGGTTCCGGATTGAAAAATTAAAAATCCGTAATACACGGATTGGTTCCGGATTGAACCTCACGGTTCCGGATTGGAACCGATCCGGACCGTATACAAATAGTATATATTTTTATTATACATCCTCCCCCATAGTATCTTCTCTTATTCTATATAAAATCTAAACTCAAACCTAAAACCGTATAATATCTTCTTTTATTACTTTTGTTTGTTAGTTTTTAGTTTTA